TTTTTTTAAATCCAAAATAGCGAAGACTAAACTCTGGACTTCTGACTAAAGCTTCAAGAGTAGCAACTTTGTTCTCAGCTATCTATGACGTGGTGATACCAGCCAAGGATTGAAAGCTTGCAATAATAGCGTCTCGCTCGATTATTCCGTGCAAAGTTCAATCTCATTGAATCGCGAGACTCGGCACGAGGTATCTCACAACCGTTCGCAACTGCAGGCTTCTGATTCGTGCCTCGACACGCGTGAATGCGCCGACGACAACAGGGGAAAAGCGCATCGAATATGCATCGGTAGGAAGAGCTCGCGTGGAGCCGATCCAGCGATACTCGGCGTACGGCTGCGGGTTAGCAGCAGTGACACGCGATCGACATCGCGACAAGACAATCGCGTCGACCGATCGACCGTAATCCGCCACCTCTATTTCGTTTGCTGCCTACGACTCCGGACGACCGCGCCTCGCCACACGACGGAAGCAAGCTCACGGTGGCTGGAGGATTCCCCATACCTCCACACCGTTCCCTTTTCTTTCTGCTGTCCACCAACGCTCATCAACCTCATCAGACCACGACGAATCTAGCGATTTTACGGTCCCTTTGTACGCTGTGATTCTCTTTCTTTCTTTTTTTTTTTCAAGCTTCTGTCTGCTCTGTCCGGGAAGCTAGACTTCTCTAAACCCTCTGACAACACAGGTGAAGAAACTTTGAATTCTCTGACCTAACCAGTGTACACATAGTTGCCTTTGTCTGACTAATTGTCGCAAACCAAGATTCGCCTCCGAAACTCTTTTTTTTTTTTTTTACCCCGACATACCTTCATAGCCGTCTGTTGAACCAGATCCAGGCACTTGCTTGATCTTGAACACCTCCGATCTCAGCTCGAATGATCGATCAGGACAGGAGCGTGATCCGCGATCTCAGATGCATCGCGCAGCACGTCACCGGTAGTTGAAACGCGTTCACGCGACGCGCAAGCAAGCTAAGACAGCTACGCCCGAGGAGCGCGGCATGGCCCGTAACTCGATGCGCCCGCGACGTGTAATAACGCAAGTCCCGGCTGAGCTACGCAGCTCCGCGGCGACTTGCTGCGTGCTATCGTATCGCTAAAATATAGGCGTGGCTTTGACATCCCACTGAGCACGGTTGCTACGATAAATTCGATTGGCCGAGCCACAACCCGCCCAACGAGATGAAAGTGCGCCGACACCAGGCGCACAAACGCACACAAGTCTCTCCCTACCACCGGCAGACGATGCTACGGGTTTTTCGATTGGCGGAGTGGTTAGCGTGGTAGGAAGAAGGATCATTCTCGAAGATCTTTCTCCGCAGACGGCTCGTAGAGGGTAGCATAATTGTCCGACGTGTTGCGATAGGTTATTACACGACGAGACAGGCAGCTTTGGTTTGGCGAACGATTTCTGCAACCTGGAAAGGAAAGACTTTTGAAAAGTGCAGTCAAGATTGAAACCGAGAAACTTTCTGCACAATTGAACTATAGTGAAATTTCATTCATATACCCTCTTCAAGAGGTAGATAGAGAGTTCGTATAAATGGAATTGGTTCAGCAATTTCTACCACTAGTTCTGTTACAAGAACACTTACAAAATTAAGAAAAATATTCATTTGCGTTCAACTGTGTAAAAAGTTCGATTAATTAGGCATCAACTAAAATTCTGCCCCAGTAAATCTCTGTTAAACAGAGCTCTTCCACTGTGTTCTACTTCAGATTCCACATGTCTATAGTCATTTATCGCGTGCATTTTTGTATTTTCGAATTTCACGTGAAAATACTCGCAACAGAAAAGCATCTGTCTCGAACAATTTACACGCGATCCCGAAAGTACGGAAATTGATTTCGAGAGGAAGTCTTGCAAAGCATGAGATCAACCTTCGTCGATGTGAGAGATATTTAAAAGAAGCTTCATCGTCGCGATGTAGTAACATTTTCGCATTTCCACGATTTCCATTTCTCGGCGCGTAGTAATTCAGATGCGACGAACATAATAGATGACAATACGAAGGGCTGAGACTACAGACACACGGCTCCGGGCATAATACCGAAACTGGCGCGCGCGTCATTAAAATTATTTATGGGGAAATAAGAATCCGAAGTCTTTAAGTCCACCACTGGACTCAGGGAGTGGGGAGGAAGGGATCGGGGTTCGCATGGGATGTACCTCTTATCCTCGATCCCCTTTAGGTCGGCACCGTCTGTCCAGGCTTACGGGTTAGTAGATTAAATTCACGCTAAGTTCACACTGTAACAGAAAATTATTTCAACTCATTCGTCGCAGAAGGCTTGCACACGTCCATTCGTATTCGTCAACTGGAATCGCGTTAACCCGTATGCATCACAATTTCAATTGCACGACGGGTGAAATGTCGAAGAAACATAAATATAAAATTCCTATTTAGTAGAAAATCTAGCCTTTTACAGGCTCGTCTTTTATCCAAAAAAAACCGACTCGCGATCTCCGCAAACAGACCTGCGGATACCCTAATCTCTCGATTAATCCGATTTACCACGTGCCTCCGTTTATTCACGTGATTGAGGCGAGAGATATTTAGCATATCGATCGTGTAATTATCTTGGAACATAACTCTCTCTCTCTCTCTCACTCTATCCAGAGGTTGGTTAAGGGGCCAAAGTAGAATCGGCGTGGCGCGCAAGATGAAGAGGTAACGCCGTAGGAGGCGAGAAATAAAAAGTAAGAAGCCAGGAGAATTCTCAGCTGGGGGTCATTGCCGATGCAAGGAGGTTTTCAGTGGTCGCGTTTCACGATCGACCACCTGGCCGCATAGTTACACCTTGTAAACGGCCCGGTGTCTACCGATGCTAATAAACAGAAACGGACACGCTCGCGTCGGCCGAGAGAGATTAATCGACGCGGATTTGTCACGGACGTTGTTACCAGACGCCTCCTCTGCCTTCCTTCGATCTCGACGTTTCGTAATATCTCGTGAGTCTATATACAGCAAGAGTGCCACACTTTTCTCTAGCATCAGAGAATTTTAACAGCTGATCGAGCAAGGTAAATGTTTCTGCAAACTCCACTGAGAATTAATGAGATTTTCTTTCCTGTGTATAAAGAAACACGATTGTTTAGTATGAATTTATAGAAAATCTCAAGGTGGAAGGAGTCGTAGTCTGAGACTTTTGCGCAACTCTGTACGTACATGGATAGAAAGGCGATGAGAAACTATCGTGGTTAACGGACACAGTCGAATTATTATTTCCGTTATTTCGTGTTGCACGTTCCTCACTGATTTATCGCAGTTCCTCGCTGGTGAACAACGCTTGACGAGCGTAATGAGTTCGACAATTAAGTCGACATCTAGTTTCTAGTTGAAATGCTGACGAGGATCTTTCAAGGAAGTTGGCCCCTGTGGTTGAATTGTTTTTGACTATTGTGGAGTGTATCGAGTCTTTTCAAAACGAAATTGATTTATGTCAAGGAATCGTTTCATTCGTCTCGCTCCGGGATCTTTTATGCCCAAGTAAATTTGGAAAATTACAGGTTCCCTTCCAAACGAGTAACAGACAATAATAATGTTTCAAAGTCTTTGGGAAACGTGAAAAGCTTTCGTTTGTGACATCGAACGGAGTAAGGCTCTTCACCCTCGACTAAGAATTTCTGACTGAGTTGTATTTAACACGCGAAATTCTGGCGACGAAATTAGAGGAAATTAAAGAGAAATTATAAGATCGATAAAAAGTTATAAAATTTCTGGCGATTGGTTGATACTTCGTACTCGTGAAAGAGGTGAAGAATTGTCCTCGCTCGCCACCGTTTAAAATCCTACCGAATTCTGGTTTTCACGTGGTCGCAATTAGCATCCCGCTGATTTTCAAAGGAGGGTGTTGCCATTCTCGCTCGACAAGTACGCACTTGTGGACACTGTAGGCGCTTCGTGGCCCCTTTGTCCAATCAATCGACGAAATTTTTCGGATGGCTTGTCGAGATCGAGGGGCGAATTATCAACGACAAGTGTCCCACGGTCGAGCGATCGTCGTTCAACCAGACACAATGGCAGTCTATTCGCAAACGGACGCCCTTATCTCGGTAAAAAACGTCCATTTGGGTTACCCATATACTAAACAACTATCTTCCCTAGAATCAGGATCAGGACTTATGCTTTTCTGTCGAGATTAAACGCAGGGGACGTTAATCGAGAGTGTTTCAAGATTCAAAGATTCATCAGCGTAGTTTGTCATACTTTTGTGTAAATTGTAATTTTTTTCTTCTTCTTCTTTTATAGAATAAATTCCTAGAGACGTGGATTCCGAAAATTTGGGCGACGACAGCTCTCGTCTCTGCAACAGAATGCAGGGAGAATTTTTCAATCCGACTGGAGGGAACTTTCCACGCGCGAACGGGTCGACGAACGTTAAAGGGAGAAGAGAAACGACGACGGACAAGCATCTGGACGCTTATTACCAATCACGGAACCGCCGCCGCCGCCTCGACTACACAACAGTCTACACGTCCGTTCAGCGCTCTCCGCGCTCATTCGTAACGAAGGATTCTACCGTGCTGTCAATTCCCTCGAACGCGTGAAAAGGACACCCGATATTATTAATGCTCTCGCCACGCAATCCGGTACTCGAAAGCTAACGATTATTTACCTCGAAATATTTATACGGTATCTCCATACACGCCCATTATCGCGGGTGTATGATAAATGCCCGGTATGAAAAATCGATTTTATTGTCGGAGAACAGGGCCCCGGCATCGCTCGCCGGGAATTCCATCCGTCTGTCCGTCCGTCCGTCCGTCTCTCCTCGCTTTGTACGTGTATATATTATATATACCCATGTGCACGTATATAAGTTGCACACGTTCACGCGCAGCGTATGGTGGTCCATCGGTGATGGATACGCCTACTTTTGATATTTCGGTGATCAATAACCGTTTCTCGGTGCCATTCGCGGCGAAGGAAGGATCCATTATTCACCCGCAGTCGCCGGTGAATAAATAATTTACCACGTCATAGCCGCACCATCAAGCGACTGAGTTCGCGCCGGCACGGCCGCCTCACCCTAACCGATCCGCGCGCGCCTCGCTGATACCAGTGATATCTGTGTCCGTTTGTTCACCGAGGCGCAGGCATCCGGGCCTTCTCCATCTCCGTGTAAAAGCGGCGCGAATCGACGCGAACGAGTTTTGCTGAAATGACGCGCGTGAACGAGGCAGAAACCGAGGTGTCGACGTTCTTTTCCCTTTCGATCGAGTGGCTGGATGGTTCGTTTTTTGGGCATTCGATGATTAGGGGGAAAGTCACCTTCGAGTTGTAAAAATCGTTCTCCGCCGGGGTTCGAGCTGCCCCAATATTCTCAACTTCCAGATAAGGAAGATTGAAATAAGGCGACGATATTCGAGTGCCGAACGAATGACGCAACAGGCATTAAACGGCGTAAAATCAAGCACATATATCGATAAATATGCCCGAGGCGAAAACGAGCGCCGCGTGGGTATAAAAATCTTCGCTATTCGTGCGGTTATATTTATACGCGTGTATCTGGTGCGCGGAGCTTTCGAGTATCGGTGGCGAGTGTTCGAAGAGGGGCCCCGACAATGGCCGGCCGGTAATAAATTATCAATGGGAAAAAAGGAGGAACAACGGCAACAAGAAGCGGCAACCGCGGCGAGTTACGGTTTCGCGTTAAATATGAAATACTGCTATCCACGTCCTGGAGGATACTCACGCACACGCGTCCATCGCGCTGCACGCACACGGACGTTGATACAGTGTTAAGCAGCTGTTTAACATATTTTAATTGCCGTATTAAAGTTTGAAATGTCACGCTCGTAATGGCTAATAAACCTTCGTAGATCTCGTTTGTCTATAAAAGTCCGATTTTTAAACGAACGAATTTTTCTTTTTTTTTTCTTCTTCTTCTTCATCTTCGAGAGAAGAACCGACAAAGGAATCTCTTTCTCGGGTTTATGATGTTGGCGCTACTGCATGGAATTTCGATTTGCAAGAGAAAATGAAAAAAAAAAAAAAAAAAAAAAAACAGTGACGTAC